CTGCACAATTAACTTCCGAACTCCGAGGGCCAGTATTTCACAAGGTTAGCTACACTGACTCCTTGCAATCTTGTTACGGTACGAAAGTGCAAAAACGCGTAATCGCTCCGGCCCGCCTGGTGCGTTCCAGCCTGGGTTTGCATTTTGCAGAAAGGCAGAACTGAAAGTACTTCTCTCTTCCTGATCTGCTCCCAAATGAAATAAACGAACCTCGTCCTGAAATTGTTTCAACCGTTTGTGGATGTCATCAGAAAATAGCAAACGGCCAAATATGGAAGCCATAGCGCGTATTAGACACAGCACACACTTTGCTCATTGAGACACTACAAGCGAACATTCACTGCAAATAAACACACCGTTGCCCACGGCAACCCTGAAGGGGGAAGGGTCACTGGCTGAGAATAGCCTTCTAAAACAAAGATAGTCAGCTACCACCCTTGCTGCCTAAGCTACCTTCACATCGACGTGGATTTTGCTCAAATAAAACCATACTCTCAATGGAAGTTTACCAAACCTCTTAACATTGGGCTGCTTGCCTCTTGTTCGTTTTGGTGCAGTAATAAATCAAAAGTCAAATTCCCTCTCCGTATTGTGTGAGAGGAAGCAGCGCGAATGATAACAAAATGTCAACAACCACTCGCCCGCAAAGCTGTTGATGGCTTACTCTTTCAAAGGTTCTCGCAAGCAAGCCAATGGCGGGTTTGACTCTTCATTATATGCCACTATCGTTTGCCACCGGAGCAAATAAACAAATCGTAGAGGAATCGGTTGTCCCACCAGCAGAATCGAATTCTCAACTTACTTGCATGGCAACAGTGGTACTTGCCACTTACTCGCCCACCCTCATTACAAATAATGTTAAAAATTGTACTTTTTTTTTGCCTGGATTTTTAAAATGGCCAATTTTATACTGCGAAAAACAAGAACGTTATGAATTAAATGTCTTTATGCGACAAACTTGGTACGCAAATTAAACATTATGGATGTCATGCATGTGCACCTGCATAATTCAGCTTTAGAACCAAGCAGTCTAGGAATTTCAAATTTAAAAAATGTCCCAAAATTCGTTTTACTAGAAACTGAAGCTCAGACTCTCAGCTCTGTACACAAGCAAATTTTATAATTTTTAGGCGGAACTACTGGGCTTAAAGTTGACAAGCCTACAAAGATGGGACGCCTAAATTCTATGACGAGCCCCCAAACATTTGCTCATAAGTCAAAATAGAGGAAGTTATGAGCTTTGTTGCATCCCATGCATTGCACTCACCAAAAGCAGGTCATGCCGTAATTAACTGCGTATCCATGACAGCTCACTGCAAAAACTGCAACGACTCTGTGTTTGGAGTCGCTACTTGTTATATTTTATCATAGAGATGGAAAAACGGTTTGTCAAATGCTACCAAAACAGTGAAAAATTGATGCCAGAAATGCATTTAATAAGTTAAAAGAATCTACTCGAGTGCATCTGTCAAATTTCTTGGATTTGATATGCATCGGACTGTAGAGTGAAGTTGTCAGCAGCATCAGTAAAGGAATGAACACGACAATAAAACAGTGGCAGATAAAACAATCGAAGTAATACGAATGCCCTCATTTATAAAAAAAAAAAAACCTTACAATTTGCTTTTTAGAACATATTAAACAGATGGAATTCTTTGAGAAAGCTCAGCTGAACCACCGTGGTACAAAAGAACAAGGAGGCTAGGAGCAAATTTATTTTCCGGGTTGCACATTGGTCAGTCGACCTCGACCACTACAATTATCGAAACATAAACAAATAGTTCGTAGCGTCCGAAGAATCTTGAATGTTTCTGTGTTCTGGACTGTTGTGTTGCATGTTACTTCTGGCTCCCTGTCTGGCTCGATTCTTTCCTTCCCGCTCCCTTTTCGGCTTGATCTTCTCTTTTCTTTTCGCCCTGCTTATCAACTTCCTCAGACTCCTCATCCGGTATATGGCTTCCTAGCAACAATATGTATAACCACCCTCCAATGACTGCACCCACCGTCGGAGCAACTATCGGCACCAAGAACCATAACTTCCACGGATGCCTAAAAGAAAAATATGTTGGTGGAAAAGGCACTGGAATTAAGACTCAGTGGATCGAGATGTGCATAATGTTGAACTCCTGATACTCACGAACGCTTTTCTAGCATTCTAAGGAAAAACAGTAACGGCGCGCACCAGTTGATAAGATGGCGAATGATTTGCTTCAGAAACTTTTTGCTACTGAAGCAGAACAGGATTTCTTGGTTTGAAATGCGAAGGTGCTTGAATCCCGTAGTTCAGAATAGAGACATGATCAAATCATGATGTAAAAAGTTTGAACATCTTAGCTTATCCGGTTACTGAGATGGAAAAATA